CATCCCTCGCGGCTCGACTGCTTCGTACCAGGTCCCGTTGGGGCCGCCGCCGCCGCTGCTGCTGCAGCTCCGCACTCACACTGCAGCTGCCGGCCAGCTGCCGCAGCTGCGCTAATGCTGGTGATCAGAGGACGAGACGAGCCGCACCGTGCGCGGCGTTTTCTTGGGAAGAAGCGGCGTGTCAGTCAGTCAGCCAGTCGGGTCAGTCTTTCGATGTCTTGCACCTGCCTGGCGGTAAAGCTCTGCCGTCAGCAGCAGCAGCTGCTGCCTGTCGAGGACAGGAGGGGTCCAGTCTCCGGACCCCGGACCTCCAGACGCTGTCAGGGGCTCGGCGGCCGCCCGGCATGCCCGGCGAACAGGCCTGTTCACCGGGTTTGCCTACCCGCAAGGCGTTTTCCCGAGCGTTTTCCCTTTCCGGACGGACGAATTCTCTCTCGGGGGAGGCTTCAAGTTCCGGCGGTGCTCGTTCCCGTGTAGTTCCTTGCTCCACGGACATGGAACACACATTTTATCAACAGGGTACTCGCGCCGGTCGGAACAACAACCAACCGGCGTGCCCGGCTGATCTGATCCGATCGGACACGCCGATCAATCAGAACTATTGCGCCGGCGGGAAGTCCGCCGCCGCGTGGGACTTGTATGCGAACCGCGCAGGCTGCGGGCCGCGCCCCGTCCGAGTCCGCAGGATGATGTAGTATACGTCACGGCGGGGAGCCCCTCTGCCTGCAGCCCCTGCCGGACGGCGGCTGACCGCAGGCAGGCCTCTTGCTGCGTGTGCGTCGGAGGGTCACCTTGGGGTCCCTCATTACGGCGAAAGGGACGGACAGCCGCCGCCGTGGGACTCGGGGAGGGTGAGAAGCCAACAGTCGGGCGCCGTCGGTCGGTAATCGCCGCTCAGCCCCTCGGAGTCACGGAGAGAGAGAGAGAAAGATGAATGAGAATATGAATTATTAGCGGTTTGACGACGACGACGACGCCGCGCCGTCGGCCTTTCTCCGCCGCTTCGCGCCTTTCACGCCCGATCCGACTTGACGCGCCGCGACGGCTGCTGCGGAATTTTGTCACATTACGACGCGCGCCGTTTCCGTTTCCGGTCACCTCCGCGCGGTTGATTGATCGGGAGTGTTGTTTGTTGCAACTCGCGCCTGCTTGGTGGACAAGTCCGGCCGCGCGGCCAGCGGCGAGAGAGTGCTGCGTCGCCAGGCAAATGCACCGGTAAAAACATTTTACACATTTTTACAAATAATGTCAAATTTGCGACAGAATTATTTTTTCCCCTCAACGTTATTCGGGTGTTTAAAGTCAAAAAGAAAGAAACACTATAATTTTCCAATTTCAAATCGGCACTTTCACACAGTTTCCATGAAATGATTCCCCGTTTAACCCGACTAATACTGTTCACAGTGACAGTAGGTGGCAGTTGATTGGGTGCGAGCGAGAGTGAGCTAATGGGGCTCTCAAGTGCAGTCGCGGTCTCTCTCTCTCGCACACGTTGGCTGGCGCTAGCTTGCCTCGTCCGCCCGTCCGTTGCCGGTGGTGTTGGTGGTTGGCTGGGTTTGCGCGCGGAGAGCATGATCGGTGGGCGTTTTCACACCCAGCCGCGACTGACTGCCTCTCTCGCCTCGCGTTCCGCGGAATAAGAAGAAGGGAGACGGGGGCGGGGCGGGGCGCGGCGGGGCGGGTGAGGCGCGGCGGGGTGCGGCGTGCCTAGCCAGGCGCCAAAGGCGTGCCGAGCCGGGGCGGCGGGGGCCACAATGGAACGGAACGTTCACAGACACCTCGCCTGGCCCCGCACCGCTGGCGGTGGCAATGTTTTGAAACGGGGATTGTTTAACATCTTCTCGGGCCCCTCCCCTGACTGCGCGAGCCGACAAGACGCACGGCGCGGACCACCGAGCTTACTACTTCTACTTCTCTCTGGCGGCGGCGGCGGAACGCAGCCATCCCAAGCGCGTCATGTTTGTCAACCTGTCACCTCTATTATTAGTCGGCGGCAAACGTCGGCGCGCGAGGTGTCAGCGCTGCTCACGGGCGGGCGTGGGCCGGCCGCGGGTACTAGTAGAAACCCCATCCCATGACAAACCCGATGAAAACGAACCAAACCTGATCCTCATCCTCATAGCAGCATGGTTAGTATACCATGTGGCTGATTTGCACTGGTCCAGACAGTCAGAACGAGTAGGCAACCCGCTCGCACCAATCCATGCGGTACAGTACTCGATACCCAAGGGTATAAACCATACAAAAGTGGACGGGGCAATACAGCCCCTCCACGCCAAAAGAAACAAACATGCGACCAGAGGACAACCTGAACTTTGTACACAGTACGTTTTCACGGCATAGGTGCACGGCCACGGTTTGCTCGCTGACCTCACCGCCGCGGGGGGCCCTGGCCCTGCTTATGCGACAGCACGCCCCGCACACGTCCGACCGGAGGGGGCGGCTCTGTCTGGACCTGGCGTGGCGATTAGTCTCCCTTCGGCAGAAATGTCAGCGTCGCGCGGGTTATATCAGGTACATACATTTTGAATGCCCTGCCGCCGCCAGGCTGCCCCGGGGCACGACCGCCGCGCCGTTGTCCGTTCCAAAAGGTACACGGCGACGCCGCCGCCATCAAAGCGAATCGATTCCGCCGTCGATGGGGCTCGACCCGCGACTTCCTGTGTCGGCTGCTTCGCCCGCCGCGCGTCGACAGCAGCAGAGCAGACCGGGCCGACGGTGATTTGCCCATACTGCTGGGCTGGCTGCACTCGTTCGGTTCCGGTGCGGTGGCCGCCACGCCCCGCCACACCTGCGCTCTGCTCAAAGGGCCGTGTTGATCCCGGCAACCTGTTCGCGCCACGCCCCGGTCTGGCCTGCGGTGTGTGACATCACCGGCCGCAATGATTCACCGAAAAGTAGAATGAAAAGGTTCGTCAGCGAAGCAGGTCCTTTTTATGCGTTCAAGTCTCTGGCTCGGCGTGCGCTGCATGCTGATGGGGTGGGTGCCCGGTGGCGACGGGCATCGAGGAACCCTCCCCGGCGACGCAATCTTCTCTCTCTCCTAATTTTGGCGACGTTCGCCGTCGACGGCAACCCCCCCCCC